AGAGAATCGTATGCTGCAAGTTTTTAAATCCAAAGCCGTTTCGATTTTCTGCTTTCCTCGAAGTCTCCCATTTCAGAATTACTGGCTTCGTGATCTTCATATGGTTGAACTGCAACTAGTTATATATGGAATATCTGGTGCGGAAGATATGGCAAAACTGATGTTTAACATTTAGCATCGTTTATTTTGGTTAATCACATACCGCATTATTAAACTTAAATCGTGATACGTTCAGGATGGTAAATAAGTCGTACATGTCTTGCACTTAAGAGCTTCGCATTTAGTAGTATGTGTCTTGGTCGATACAGTGCATCCATGTTCAAACGTTGAGGTTCCATGACAGTCGTTTCAAATGCATGATTCTCAAATCATTTAACAGTACAGATGCACTTTGTCCATCATGTTTAGTGTGAAGAAAATGAAGTTGTCAGATTAACGAGGCTGCGTGTTTTTAGGTCCTGTTGTATTGATCAGTATTCTGTTCCAGTGATAGTTATGCATTAAATATGTCCAATATTCGTTAACGTGAAAACATGGGGGTCATATACTTCTCATGAAACTTTTAGACTCACTAGTGTAAATACATATAGCCACTTACATCAGGCAAATGTCCTAACCTAAATCTTGCAAAATATTCCATACTGTTGAAAGGTTCTGTTTACATATGAAGTGACGTATTGTAAAACAAATTCGTAACGTTGAAAAGATTATTGTCATGAGTTCATTAAATTGGAAAATTGGCGAATTCTTAACAAAACTTTACACAAAAACGCAGCTGTTCACATGCACGATATTTGCACATGATTTTCAGCAATTTGATGCATGAACAGAAATCATACATACCTGTTAATATCACACACACGCACACGCACACACACACGCACGCACACGCACACACGCATCAACACCGAGATTAAAAGCAAAACTAGCAGGCCCTCTTTGTATCCTTCAAAAACATCAGCTATTGGAATAATTAGCAGGTACAACCTTGAACTCAGCAACCCCACAAAAATGCCAGCCTTTGTTCTGCAAACACCAAAGCTACTGCTAGCTGAAAGTACTTCACAGCCTGCCTCCCAGAACAGCAACAACCGGCGACAGCTACAACCACCTTCGCCGTGGCCCGCGACATCCTCACCAATACACCGTATTTCCAACAGTGTTGTTTTCCGTTAAGTTATAGAAACCCCTTAATTACACCGCGCGTCCTAATACAGTCCTTAATAGAAGTCCCGCATCGTTGCGTGCAGAGCGGAGGTAAAACGGGACGCTTGCCTCGGCCGAGAAATTATTGGGCGTATCACTTTGACAAAAGACCCGTCTTTCATACAGAGAGAGTCTAAAGATTGGACTTCTAGAGCGTATAGATAATAGAATCTTTGTTTGAGCCAAAGACCAAAGACATAAGACCTTCGTTGCGTGAGTTTTGTGTCTCTCTCCAAAAGGGCAGAGCTGTTTTTTGGGTGTTCTATCATTTCCTGACCTGTGTATATTTTTGCAATGGTTTCAGAGTTAGACAAGCCTGCACACAAATGTGTGTGTAGTGACTTGTTTGGCCCGTGATGCACATTCTGGAGCTTCTGTAAGGTATGAATATGAAGATAGAATTACAGGAAGTCTTCATTTATATCTTCACTGCGCTACATACTGAAATGGAATTTGCAGGAATTAATCTTCAAAAGTGGGAATTCCAGTAATGTTATTTTCAGGAAATATCTTCCGCGTATATTGGCGAATGTATTTCTATTTCTGTAATTGCATCGTGTCCGGTATTGGGGTACTTTCAAGAAGAAGTAGATTGAATATTCATTTCTCAAACAGGAAATGCATTACTTGTCGCCCTAGAAATGCTAACAGCTGTGTAATGCTATTCAGAGGCCATATACCGATATATGGTCTCTGTGCTATTCTTGAGCCAGTGCGTATTGGTTTAATAGTACTCAACTGCAGCTCATGTGAACTTGAAGGATTCTGTAAGAGCAGTGTGTAGAGTATTTTGTTGGTGGGTTTATGTATGATAGTATAGTGTTATCTTTATCCCCCGCAACGCGGGTATCAAAATGGACGGTCCGGACCAGAACATAAAGACCGTTCAATATTTCTTCACCAAACTTCGCACATAGACAGGTCTAATGGTGAACTGGTGCCTTTTGGTAGTTTTGGATTTCGGAATAATTTTTTGTGTGTGTGTTTCCATGGCAACACGTTTGACTTTGACTGAACACGTTTGACGGAGAAATTACTTAGGTATATCAAACCGAACATATGACATAGTCATAACTAGTTGACATATTCATGACGAGTATTTTACCACTGCGGGGGATATTGATGACTTTGTCCTCTTGTTGAAATATATTTACGAGGAGCTACATCACATCTAAAATGAGCGTTTACCTGTTGTCAGATTGTAATCATCATGATCATAACAGTAATCATCATCGTGATTATCCATACGATAACAAATATCAAAGTGCACATCCAAAACGAGTAGAGAAGTGCGCAGCAGCAGCTTAAGTAGGAGGACATTATACGGTGAGACACAATTACTATGGATATACTAGTAGAAGACTTAAGTTTCTTTGATTCATGCTCAACGCAGCACTTGCTTTCAGTTGAAGCCCATTTCTGGTGTCCCCCGCCGTCATATTGCTGGAATATTGCTAAAAGCGGCGTAAAATTAAACTCACAGACCGGGACCAGACACTCCGGTGATCATCATGAACATCCATCTCCACACCTGGTACACGATCACATGCATCCAACTCTTTCAGCGAACCTGACTACCGTCAAATGAAGGAAATTGAAGGCGAATTCTAGCCCTGCCTCTACAGGTAAGTAGCAGTGGGTGAGTGAGTTGGGTTGTTAACGTTGCTAGCCTTTCAAGACGGCGTAGCAGCCTGAAGACGGAAGCCATCTTTGACGTTTATCACTGGTGGATCCCACAGGTATGAAACCAACAAACCAATAACCGTAATCAGGACGAATCTAATATTCTTAAACTCCTGTCATGCCTAAGGGGCGCAACTCTGTTCAGCAAATTACGACACCCACCGGTTAATATCTGGTGTAACAGTAGAGTGGCAAAGAGGCAAGAGTCGAGATGAAGGTGTTGATAACTGAGTTACCTAACTTGAAGCGGTTTTCTGAATATCATGATCACACAGGATAACTCTACATTACGTTTACACAAATATAATGTGGCAGACAATCCAAGGAAGATTGATATATCATGTACAAAGGCGATAAGGTGCGGAAATATAATCCACCTAAGTATTTTAACCAGCTAACAAAAACGTCTGGGTCGACAGGACCTAAACTGGAGGGCTGCCGGTGCAGCTACTCAAGCTCAGCACGACGCTGTTACGGCCGTCTCTCATACCAAGCCGAGGGACTATGTGAACAGTCGCACCATTCGTTCCTCATACACTCTTATACACCCATTATCTTGTAACGGCGCTCAGCGCGGAGTAGCGCCCCTTAGCTGTCAGGATCTGCTTTCGTGGATTGGAATCACAGTCGCCCCACTAACGATTAAGTTCATCAGCGAGTGTGGATGTATGTATGCATTTTGATTGACGCGTCGTGTATATAACGAACGTTCTTGGCGTTTAAACCAATATCCCGCTTATCGGGTGGTCAGGCTCGCTGACTTGGTTGACACATGTCATCGTATTCCAATTGTGTGGATCGATGCTCATGCTGTTGATCACTGGATTGCCTGGTCCAGACTCGATTATTTACCGACCATCGCCACTCACCAATATTCCGCACTCTCTCCTTAAGTTGATTAATTTTCAAAATTGTAACGGAATATAAGGTCTAACCCGAGCGTGCTTCTCGATATATAGGTAATTCATTACCGCAGATCAGCAAAACACTGATATGCACTGACGCCATGGGTGATCAGCTAACGTAAACACAGACGTATTTTTTAAACGATTACATTTCATCTTCAAAAGAAACATATTTGGTGTCAGTAGGCACGAGCTGCCAAATATCATTTTCAAAGCTTGCTTATTTCGCATTATAAAGAAAATCATTAACTATTCTTTCAAGTAGTGAAAACCGCATCATTCTAAGTCTACGATGGTGTCCATAAGTACACTGTTAGACAAAAGAAAGTGGTCACCACTGTTTGAAAGTGGATATGTTGTTATTCAATGATCATATGGTTGTGTTCAGCCAGGTAAAACTTAGATAACGTTTAATTTTAGGAGAAAATCCAAATTTCAAGCATATACTTTCCTTTGCCCAAGAACATGACAACACAACATCTCCACTTCTTGCTTTAAGTGTTTCAGCTGGTGCCATGCTTACAAAGGAGTCCTGGGTTCAATATTGACATCGGTGCTCCTTGCAAAGCTTTACAAGGTATATCTCCTTGAAGCCCAGCAACATCAAATTATACTCATGGAAACGAATAAGGGAACACATGATAGTACAGGTGTTCCTTTATTCTTTTCAGGTTTTCTTCCTAAGGTGTGTATTGCACTGTTGGTGAAATTCTGGAAATGAATAAAGGAACACTTGTACTTTCATGTGTTCCCTTTTCGTTTCCATGAGTTATATATAAACACTTACTAACATTCCCACATTGTTTATAGTAGTTACCTTTATCGGCTTGAGTGTGTATATTGATCCTAATTCTAGTATGTTTTCAGGTAAAACATTCTGTATATTAATGTATTTGCGACCACAGGCCTTTGAACAGAATAAAAGTATGTCTGTCTGTCTGTTAAGTTTAGGTTTACTGGTCGCACAGGATCAACCTGACGACCACCTCGTTGTTCAGTGTAGCATCGGAGTTGTTCACTCGCTTGACGTGCTTGAAGTCCTGAGTTCCATGCCCCACATTGTCACACCCGCGGACGGTGACAAGCACTGCACAGCGTAGTCGTACGAAACTTAATGTGCCATTTGAGGTATGGTCATAGTAAGGCTAAGACTACACTGTCGCCGTCCCCCGCCCAGTTTTGCTAACATGTCTTTTCTTTACTCACCGCTCTGTAAGTTCGTTTCTGTCCGGCATGCTTGCCCCCTCTGCCGTCCATCTCAACGTGGACGCTGTAGATAATGTCGAAGAAGTCCTCAACAACTGCAACCTTCTTGTAATCCCGCTCTGCATCACTACACAGGGGGTCGTTCTGGAAGACATGGAGAGATTATGAAGATGGCACCAATACACCGCAGATGTCACGAAGTTAAAACTACGAGGAGCCTTCAAAAAGTAGTCAGCCTAACTATATTCTCGATGTGCAATGTTTGAAAAGTTCCAATTTTATTTTGAAGGAATCATTAGCAAAGCCATATCCAAAATTTCACATATATGGGTAATGTGGTTAACGAGATATTACTCATCACAACACTTTGGGGTATAACATTTCTTAACAAATTGGAGAAAATGAAAAACAATCTTTCATTTGGTACCTCTTGGATATGGTATGCCCTCAGATAATATAAATTAAATATAAAATATGTTCAGTATAGTATTGGATGACTTCCCGTCTTAATCAACATTCAAAGAATTGGATTGCTTGATTTATTATTTAGATGGGGGCTGTTTTGTAAGGACACTCCCATTTTACTATTTCAAAAACATTGTGTCCAGATATTCAAGCTGGCCCTGTTACAATATGTGACTATTCAATATCTAGTTTGAACCCTTGGCATCATGTATGAATAAGTGAAAACTCTAGAATAATTTATGTCTTTATGATTACGCCATCTGAAAGCAGGGTGGGTAGTGTCTCCAAAACAAGCTCTTTCAGTAAACATGAAGCGGGGAGTGACTTTAACAGGCGATTGTTGTTTCAAATTGTTTTTTATGCACTTTAATATCTAAGTTTGATTCTAGCGGACTTCTGCATATCTCAAACACTCGAAATCTTTCTTGCATATTTTGTTTCCTGAAGTTTGTGATGCATTTATTGCATTTAAAACGTCAAACAAAATGGGGATCGTGAGGCTGGAACGTAGCAAAACGAATTTGCTTGAGGTTGACAGATAATATGTAGCAAAATAAAACATAAAACAGCTGCATTGTATCCTTTTCTAGGTGAGGCTGGCTACTTTTTGAACGCCCATCGTAGCTATTATCCTAAACTCTATGGACGAAATGTACAGTTGGGATACAATGGCAGCCACTGCAATACTTGACACCGAATTGACAAGTGAGTGAGTGAGTTTAGTTTACGCCGCTTTTAGCAATATTCCAGCAATATCACCAGAAATGGGCTTCACACATTCTACTCATGTGGGGAAATCGAACTATAAGGCTACTCCACCGCCCCGAATTCGACAAGCTTCGTATAGAAACCTAGATGATCTTATTAAATACGTGTCAAATGCAAGAGGCGAGTGAGTGAGGTAGTTGCAACTCCTGTTTGAACACTATGATATGACAGTGTGTCATCGAATTTAGGACAGAAAGACCACAGTAACGATTGTCTTAGAAGTTTACCTATTTGATAAAACCAATGTTTGTATTCAGACAAACAAACGACAATAATCGACAATACACTATCTAATTGGCCGTTTGAATCCCAGCTCTTCTGATGTGTTACCCACGGCGCTTAACAACAACTGAAGATCGTTATGAAATTATTCAAGATAACAACATTTCTTTTTCATGCATAATATAAAAACATTTAATATGTCGTGATTTAGTTATCATTTAAATTGGCAAAAGAAAGTGAGGTGATGGGTGAGGTGAAGTCGTGTTTAACGTCGCACTTAAGAATTTTCGCTCATATGACGACGTGCATGCGTGGCTGCTTTTATAGTGCTAGCCCACTGAGATACCATGCCGCAGTGAAGCATGAATACCCCACTCAGACACATTATACTGACTCCGAGCTGACCAGTTCTTGTTGTACCCATTAATGCCGAGAGCCAGGCAGGGACCAACAAGTACCATATTTTAACGTCTTTTGGTATGACGCGGCCGGGGAAAGAAAGTACGCACCCATGGTCGACGGGGCATGAAAATACAACAAACAACTATTGGCTTATGATGATGATGGTTAGGTTTTGCTTGTTTGCTGATTGTTTAAGGATGCACTCAGCAATGTTCCAGCTGTATGGCGGCGGTCGAGACCAGACAATCCAGTGACTGGCATCGTGAACATCGCTATATGCTACGGATATCATAGTGGCGTTTAGGACATTGCAATATTTCAGCCAATGTTTTTAGTTCCATTTTCATATCGTTTGTAATTTTGGGGTCAAATCCTTTATTCAATCCATACGTTCTTGTCCACCAGTTTAGTTTCATCTGGAGACAGTTCGAATTTCCTCACTCAATATAGATAGTTCCGGATGTTACCCAAATTGATATATCGAATGGTCGACTTCGCTTTTGTTTCCCAGTATTATAAAAAAAAATTCTAACAAAATTCGGATATCAAGGGATTTCGTACCTTCTATCATTTAATTAACTTAAATTTAAAGAGAAACACTGATACGGATGTGTATGTCAACTTCAGCACGTTTAATCGACTGTCGGAATGCATGGACGTAGATGCTACATAATCCTTCGCAATCTACCATGTGTGGCTTCCGGAGTCCCAAATCAAGCCTTGCGTCAACCACAGAGCACACAATGGAGGAATGGGGGTGGGGAGGGGGTGCTGGCCATCCACGATGTCATCGACCGTTGCTCGTACCTTAAGTCCTTGGACCAGAGTCAATAGTGTACAGCCCCCCCTGGTAACGTTCGAGCTTTGCTGACTGTGCAGATCTCGAATACTGTGTTCAGTTCTAAAATACTTTATTATGAATATCCAACGACGCTCACTCCCAGCCACTGGTTTATCTCGAATACAAATATTTTTTAAAATTTGTAAACATAAAATATCTTTGCTGTCATCGCCGAAAAACATCTCCTCCGCTGACTAATTAACTCAGCTAAATAATATTTCAAAGGACACTAAACACTGCTACTCAACACTGCTACATTCCTTCACGAAGCTTGCTCGCCATCTTTATAACATTCCAATAATGGCCTCTGCTGCAGAACAATCCGAGCTGGCTGAGTCTTGTGAACATCAACAGCATAAAAACGCCCCAAGATATTTTCATTGTCTTATTTCAACCTTATAAACTGGAAAGAACCCATAGGCTCTGTTTGGCTCTCAGAAATATCTGTTGTCCCATATAGAAACAAATACCATCAGACGCAAATGAATTCATTTTAGATTTGTGCAATCTCTGAGCGCATGTTGGAGTCAAATAATCCAACGTGGAGGCCAGGTATCACATTACAATAATGCAACTCATGTTCTGTTTACCGTCAGAGATGTTCATAGAACATCTTATCCAACACTGTGTTGGCGTTCAGTGGCCACACGATATTGTCTAGTTGGCTGTAATGTATCGGAATATCGCATTACAAAGGCCGTAATATTGGAATAAGTTTGATATCAGTTGGTTCGACCTGTATAAAGAAGATCGGCCAGGTGCTGGAGGGCTGAGACAGAAACTAACCTTTGGTTTGCATGGTTGTGGGATCTGGGAGGCCATAGGAGCGATGAGGGTATGGTGTGCGATTAAATGTTACTGATGTTTAATTGATACAGGATGGAAATTTCTCATTTAGTATTTCTCAGTTATTTGTAACTGTCCAGATAAATTATCAACAACGTATACCAGAGAACATCTTTAATCTGTAAGGTATAGGAAGCTATACAACTGACAAGTCTCTCTCACTCTCTCCATATATACAACAAAAACACACACGCACACACACACAGACACACATACATACACAATACATACACACACACATACATACATATACACACACACACACACACGCCCCCAACATACATACATCCACATACACACACACACATCCATCCATCCATACATATACATACATACATACATACATACGTACATACATACATACATACATACATACATACATACATACATACATACATACATACATACATACATACATACATACATACATACATACATACATACATACATACATACATACATACATACATACACCTGGGGCTATGATGGTCCTTGTGTTTATGTAACCAGACACTGACCATTACACAAACACCTGGTGTCATGATGTTCCAAATACAGGGTTTACCAAGGTCGTCGGATGTACTTCAGCTTTGTTGATATTTAGTTGTGGCTTGTGACTGAACTTACCGACCCCAAAGTTTAACAGATCTGGTGTGTCATGAAATTGCCGAACTGACTGGCTGCCATTCATTGCTGGACACCGTTCCTTAAGGAAGTACACCTGTAACAGTGCTCTACCTTGTACAAGGCAGCCCCGTGTCACCCTGCTCTATGTAGCTGGGCGGTGGGGTAGCTTAGTGGTTAAAGCGTTCGCTCGTCACGCCGAAGACCTAGGTTCGATTCCCCATATTGGTACAATGTGTGAAGCCGATTTCTGGTGTTCCCCGCCGTGATATTGCTGGAATATTGCTAAAAGCGGCGTAAAACTAAACTCACTCACACTCACTCTACGTAGCACCTGAGTTCAACATGGCAGATAGATGCACACACGTTCTGCTGGTAATAAACCTTTAATTATCTTCAACCAGCAACCGATCCCTTCCACCAAAAGATGACATCGAATGCAGGATCTCAAATACTCTAGGTGAAATCACTTACATGCATGCCTTTCGATCTCCAGTGATCTCCTGCTAGTTGTATCACCCGAGTAGGTTTGAGCAAATCGCTGCGAGTCTCATCTTTGAATCCAGCAATGCTACGGCGTTCAATGTCGAAACCTAACACCCTGCCGTCCACAGACAGTGACAGTTAGGCCTGTGATAAAGCGAATCCAGCAAGGGATATTATTACTCCTTAATTTCCAGCCGCAATGGATCACCTTTAGTTTTTATGGTACTAGCTCATCTTTCATACAAGGATCGGAACGGGGAAATATGCATGATGCAGTAATACAATGCCTTTGGTAACTTCAAAACGACAATCTTGGACCCATTTTTTGTGTGAAGATTATAAAACGTTTTCTGGACCGTGCGCTACAATCTTAAGTTGTCTTCAAAGCAGTTGTTTTTTAAAGGTCTCGTCCGGATATCCTTTCCTCCTTGAACTTGATCGTGTCCGGATTTTTTGGCTCTGCGTTAATGGCG